ATGAAGCAGCTGGATTTGTTTGCCCTGCTGGGTTTCAGTCTTGCTTTAGTCCCATTCCTTTCTATCCCCCAATATTTTCCTTTCGTAATGGGAACATTCACCCTGTGCCATTGCACGTTGGAAGTATTTATCTTTCTTTTTGATTTTCACAGGGGCTCACAGACAAGAGTTTGCCTTGAGTCTCAGAGACATTGGACTTGGACTTTTCAGCAGTGCTGGAACTGTGAAGACTTTGACAACTCTTAGAGACGGATCAAATTAATTTTGTATAATGAGATAGGCATGAGTCTTTCAGGGCCAGGGCAGAAGGTTATGGTTTAGATCTAAAGTGCCCCCCCAATTCTCATGTGTGGAAGGTGATGATATCATTGGAGTGCTATTGCTGTCTTGTTGTTAGGAGGTGGAGCCTGTTGGAGGTGTGTCACTGGGGGTGTGATCTGGAAGTATGTATTCTTGCCCTTGGTTCCTTCTTTCACTCTCTGCCTCCTGACTGCCATGATTGAGCACACTTTTCCTCTGCCATGTCCCTCTGGTCCTATTTACGCTTCTCGTTGTTGAGACAAAATACTCAACACCCAAAGTTAAACAAGGAGAGGTTTATTTCAGCTCACAGTTTGTTGAGGTTTCAGTCCATAGTCTGATGGCTCCAAGGCAGGGTGCCATGGCAGAGGAGGAGAAAGTTCGTGGCTGAGCAGGCAGAAGGCAGCAAAGAAGTAAGCAGCAGCAGCAAGCCTGCCTTCACTGTCTCCCTTTATATTCCATCCAGGTTATAGCCTATTGATTGGTGCCACCCACACACCCACGGTGGGACTTCCATTTTCCACACCCAGAACTATGCTAAACCCATTTAGTTATCACACAGCCTTAATCCCAGTATCACGTACCCTAGATCCAGCTACCTCCCCAAACCCCATCTATGAGAGCATGAGACTTTGGGGGGTACATCTAGATACAAGCCATAACATTCTGCCATGCTATTTCTTCTTCTAAGCCAGCTAACCATGGACTGAAAGTGTGAGCCAAAAATAAACTTTGCCCTCCTTTAAGTTGTGATGTTGGGTGCTCTGTCCCAGCAATGAGAAAGTGAGGAAGACGCATGGGCAATAAAAACCACCTATGGATCAGGAATGGTGGCACAGGAGGCTGAGGCAGGAGAATTGACAGCAAGTTTAAGGCCAGCCTGGATTACAGAATGAGTTCAAGTCTACCCTGAACTACATAGCAAGACCCTGTCTCAAAAACCAAACCAAACCAAAACACTGATTTTGAAAGAGTAGCTATTTCTTATAAAACTAAAAAGCAAATGTGAAAGGGATCTATCAAACTAATTTAATAGTAGCCACTAAGATATTGTGTGAATCAATAAAATTATTTATGGAGTTATTTCAGTTAATCATTGCAATAATTTTGAAATGCAGCCATAGATGCTAATCTTCTGGACAAATCTAGGATTCTACAATCTTCCTAAAAACAATTTTTACTCATCCTTTAATAAATATTTGTTAGCATCTACCATGTGCCAGACACTGTTCTAGGCCTTTGTTAACTTCACTGACTTGGCAGCCACCGAGATTACTGGTAAATCATGCTTCTAGGTCTTTCTGGGTGGGTCATGCAGGTGTGACCTTGGGTACCTGCAGGTGTGACCTTGGGTACTGAGTCTGGCCCCTTCCACTCTGGTGCTCTTCCTCTGCTCTGGTTCTCAGCCATCACAAACTGAGCAGCTTTGCTCCACCATGCCCTTCCTTCATGATGCTTCTGCCTCGCAGCCAGATGATCATGGACTGAAATCTATGAATCCATACCCTAAGTACAATCCCCTCCTTTCAGTGGTGGTTGTCAGTTGTTTGATCCCAGCAATAGAAAACCTGACTAATACAATCAACAAACAAAACAAAGTTCCCTGCCCTAGAGTAGCTTATGTTCTCAAAGGAGAGTCAGACATCAACAACACTCTTAACCAACCAGTAAAATATGGAAGGTTAGCACCTGCTGATGTAAGGAAAAAGAGCAAAGAGAAAGCGTTGGGGATGAAACTCAGGGCACTGTACATGCTGAACACATTCTTTACACTGGTCTGCATCCCTAGGCTGAGAAGGTGACATCTGAGCAAAAACTGGAAGGAGACCGGGGAAGTGTTAAGTAAGGCCTGTCAGATGAATCTGGATTTCACAGTGGATTTGAACTCAAATCCAACATGTCCAAGTCTCACCCTCCAGCCTTCCTGCTCTCTACTCTGTCCCACTGTTTGCCTATCAGCGAGTGGTGCTGCCATTCATCTCTGCAGCCAGGGAGAGCAGAAGGCACAGAGAAAGCTCTAAGCTGAATGGTCATAAGGGACTTGAACCCACTACCTGGGCCCAGCCCTCAGCTCTGCCATGTACTAGCCTAGAGCTCCATCTTCTTGTTTGTAAATTGGGGAGGATAAATTTGCTACCTTGTAGGATTGCTGTGTGTATCTAATGAATCACTACCTGCAAATCACTTAGAAATATAAGAAATACAAGAGTTTCTTATAAGAAATATGAGTTCAATAAATAATGGTTCTTCCTTAGTCCGAAAAACCATTTTACTTCCTAGCTATCCATCACATCCATCCACTTCACTATGCCTGTTCCACCATCACAAGCCAAGCTACCATCATCTTCCCCCCTTAAAACCCTTCCATAGTCTCCCCCGAGCTTTGGATAAACACAGACCCTGATGTGGTTAACAAAGCCCCACATGGTCACACCAATGGCTGCAACCTCATCTCATGCCATGCTCCTGGTCACTCTCTGACCTTCCTGTTCCTCACACCCAGCTGCTCCCTCCTGCCACACAGCTTTAGCTGCTGATACTCCCACCATCCATCACCTGAGCAGATGCTGCTCATCCTTCAAGTCTCAGCTAAAGCAGCCCTTCCTTTAGGATGCCCACTCTGACCTCCAAGACTATTGGAGGCTGATCAATCCTCTGATTTGCCTGGGGGGTGGTGGTGGTCAGGGAGGAGTAAAGAAAGAAAGATAAAAGAGACATATATAATTTCAAATACATGGAGGGTTGGGAGGTCAGTGGCTCAGAGTGGGCAAAGACAAAGACACTCCAAACTAGCCACTATTTATTGGGTGCACACAATAATCAGAGGGAGCATCAGGTGACTCAAGAGGGCAGCTGTAATCCTACATTGATGAGGATCTCAGGTTGATGAGGATCTCAGATTGATGAGGATCTTATGTTGATGAGGATCTTATGCTGATGAGGGTGGTGAGGACAGCATTCTTACAATAGTAGGTGGGACCAGATAGCAGGCTAATAAAGAATTTGTCCTTCCCCCAGGTGAAACCTTTCTCTTTTTATTACTAGTCTGGGTTCTCAAAGAATCTGGATGTCTTCAGCTGATAAACTCTTCTTGCCCTTGAGCGTCACAGTATCACAGGACCATTGAGGCCTCAACTTGTGACCATAGACAAAATAGAGTTATGTTTTCTTAGGCTATGGCTGGTACGCAGGCAAGGTGACATTGGGCCTTAGACAGCTATAGTCATACTTTACTTATGAAATGATTTTTCCCAAAAAATTATATAGAATGGCTCTCACCATGTGACTGAACCCATCCCACATGCCCCCAATTACCTTGGTTCCATGTGCCTCCTTTGTATACCTGCCCAGAGGTTGGTTATGTGTTTGCCTCCCTACCAGGCTGGAAGCTTTCAGGGCACCAAACTGGTCTTCACCACCACTACTTTATCTTCACGCTGAGGACAGCCTGGCTCTAGTGTAGACGCTTCATAACTTCTGAGCCATTGATAGTCTGTCTATCAGTCACTAAGGAAGCTTGAATTGTCCCCCAAGGGAACAGTCCTCAAATGGGCACCATGGCTGGGTGTGTTGGTGCATGCCTGTAATCCCAACACTAGGGAGGCTGAGGCAGAAGGATCACCACAAGTCTGAGGACAGACTGGGGTACATAGTGAAGACTCTCCCAAAAAACTTAAATAAATAAATAACAAAAAATCCAATGGGCACCATGAAGGTCTCCAGTGAAGAAAGATGCAGTCTGTGCTTTTCATAAGCTTGAGTCTAGCTAAACATGGACTTGGTCAAACCAGGCTGTACAAAAATAATTAAGGGTCAGAAGTTGTAAAAATGTTGTACAAATAATGTCAGGTAAGACTTTTCATGAGCAAGGGGAGTTCTGAGAGGGGAGGTAGCAGGATTGAAAGGAGGGAGGGCACATTCTTCCTGAGCACTTGAGAATATGAGTCAGCAACCAGCCCTGCCTGGGGGCCACATGGCTCAAACTTGTGTGATGGAGGACAAATTATTTGCCCTCCCTGTGTCTCAGTTTCCTCCTCCATAACAGGCAAAGAATAACAGTCCCTGCCTAAAGGGATATTTTATATATGTAAAGTGCTTGGAGTGGTAGCTGGCAGGAAATAACACTGTGTGTGTGTCTGCCCTGTTTGTTGGTTGTTGGTATCACTGTTATTATTGCTATTGGTAGAAGGAATAGCCAGGACAGATGCAAAGAGGTGTTAATTAAATGCTGTAAATGGACTTTACCGGGTCCTACTAAAGATAGCAGGTTTTACTAGAGCCCCAGGAAGCCAAAACCGTCAGCATTAATCTCAGCTAGCACAGTGGCTAGGACCAATATATCCTTAATGAATATTTGTGTAAGGAATGGGGCTTTTAACCATTCATTGATAACCTATATAATATTCTTGTCTTGGAGCTAAGTACTTCACTTGCATGATCATGTCTCATCTTCACAATAAACAGTGAGGTAAGTACCAGTTTTCAAAGGCATTTGAAATCTTAAAGTGTAAAATAAGATGTCAACCACTGGAGATCAAACATTCATTTTTTTGCTGTTGTTCACCAAAATATTTCTTCCTACAGATCTGAAGAGAAACAAACTATATTTCAACAGGGTAAAGAGAAAACATGCAACTGAGGAAAAGGATTGTATTTTATAAAATTAAATTTTATTTTTAAATACCAATGAGCCTTCAGGTTTTTCTTTTCTTTTTCTTTTATTATTTTTTTAAAATGTAACATTCCTTGGGGCTGGGGATTTAGCTCAGTGGTTATGCCACCTGTCTCGAAAGTGCAAGGACTCGAGTTCGATCCCCAGTACCAAAAAATAAAAATAAAAAATAAAACGTAACATTCCAGAGGGTGCTGGATGGTAGAAAATGGGAAACGTGGGTAATTCAGTGGCCATGTGTTCTATGTGGCTCCCCAGAGCTCTGTCGATTGCTTATTCTTCCACTGAAATGGCTGGTCAGTCATTCCACCTTGCCAAAGTGCTGATGCACCACTGGCTACAACAAAACACTTCCTCTGAATTTCCCTCTCCATACTTGAACATCTTTATGTTGTCAAGTCTGAACAGCTAAGGAGAGCTTGCCTTAACCTTCCTAGGATTATTGGCATCCTTTAGTAGTCAGAGTTCTCAAAACAGAAGAGAGGCTTCCTGGAAAATTCTAAAATGGAAGGTGGAAAGATGGATGCTACAGGGAGACCTTGATGCCCTGACCCTTTTGTGCCCCACTGTGAGGGAAAAGCAGGGTATATGTGACCATCAGGCCAGAACTTCTTGCTCCTCCAAATGGTTGGCAATTTGGAAAATAAATGTTATGTTCTTTCTAGCAAACAGTTGCTTTTAGTGGACACCTACTCCCAACTGAGCTATTGGTCCCTGGACAATAACCCTAGAAAGACTCAGGCTCAAAAATGTGATCCCTGGTGAGCAGTGTCCAGGAATCTGGGTAGCAACAGGGCCACCACTTCAGAGAGCCCTAGGTAAAAAGGGAAGCGTTTATCTAGACGTGCTTCAGTGAAAATTGTCATGCTTTATATTGCCACGAAATAACAATCAGAAGCTGGGGGCCGGCACACAATTTCCCCTGCCCAGTCGTCCCAAATGGCAGCCCTGCAGAAACCAATTATGCTAATAATATTTTCACACTAAAAAGGAAATGTACCATTGCCGGTTATTTTGTTTTGAACAGATGTCATTTTTTTTCCATTGGGGAAAAACTTTAATGCCATTTTGTTGTTTCCCTTCCCTCAAAAATGGTTCTCAAATGGCAACGAGCCCCAGTTCCAAGGATCTTCTCATGAACTTTGAGGACGAGAGGCTTAAGTACCAGTGCTTGCCCAGGTCACGCTGAGCTGTGAGCAGGACGTAACAGCAGCCGGGGTGCCAGGACGCAGCGGGCTCGGCCTGGTCCGGCCTCAGCAGGCCCCAGCCGTTCTCAGTGTGCACCCACACATGCAAGCCCAGGGGAAGCCCTGGCTAAGCAACACCTCTCCTGCATCAGCTTTCCGTGAAGTTGTCCAAGCAGTGGCTGGCTGAGGGAGAAGGCTTCCCCTCTGTCCAGGACACTCTACAACGAAAGCAAACCACTCAAGCCCAGCACAAAGCGACTCTGTGCCCTCTCTACTTTTCGCCCACTCCCACCCCACAAAAGGAACAGTGCTCCAAAGCCCTTTCTTCTTCCGAGTGAGTCCTAGTAACCTCCAGAGCCTTTTTTCTAATTAAATAAACCTCATCTTGTCTAGCTTCCTGGTCAGCATTCTGAACCCCCTACAGATGGGTCTACAGGATTAACAGCAAATCCTCCTCGACCTAGCTCTGGCAGATGGGCGACATGTGTCTGATAAATACTCGGACCAGGCTTGCTTCCTCCTGTTCCTAGCCGATAGACAGAGCACCCAGCAAATTAATTTTAAAATGGTGCCCCTCGAAACCCTTTGAATGGCAAAGGAGGCCAAGCACAAATGATATGAATTTCATATGTGGAATACACTATCACCTCCCAGTGACCAAGAAAAATGACCTGTTAGGTAGACAAGACCTCAGGGGGAAGCTGGTCAACAAGTTCACCCTCCACCTGGGGAGCTGGCCACATGCACACCCCTGTCTCGCCTTCTGGACCTACAGTCATTTGCATATTGCCTTTGCCTGCTGGGAAACAGCCTTTCTGCTTTAGCGCTTTGTGGCAATCCAGGTGCATTAGGAATTTGAGGGTGGCTATACCAGAAGATGGAACCTGTGTGTTTTTCATGTTTAGAAAGAAGAGGCAGCTAGTGGACATAACAGTAAAAGACACAAATATCTTCCCTAATTATTAGAGATTTTTGCATTTAAGGATTGATGGCTTATCTTTTGTTCCAACTTGGGAAAAGAAAGGCAGCTCTCAGCTCTGGGAGAAGGGACCGACACACATGACTTCACTTGTGAGATGCTCCTCACTCAGGAAACTGTGCTTCCAGCTGTAACCATGTGGCCACTCTGCAGAGTGGCTGACAAATGCTGGCACTGCCAACCACAGACAAGCCCCTCCTGCTCGCTGGTAATGTAGCACCAGGCCTCTGTGAGCTCATTTTGTAAGATGAAAGGGATACTATTTAACTTTCCTCCTGAAGAACCTGAGCCCAGCCAAATATTATCCTGAAGAATCTTCAGCACTAAGAGCTATGAATTACCTTCCCAGTGACTGGACAAGACAGGTGGAAGTGTTATTCTTTTCATCCTGTACGAAGGAAGAAAAACATTCTGATAGCAGTTGCTCACGAGTGTTGACTGAAAGAGTACAGGATGGGAAGGTGGGGGCCCAGTCACAGGGATGACACCCCTCAAGAACAGAGTACCTTCTGGAGGAGAGAGGGGAAGCTAGGTTTCCGGGTCATGCATCATTCCTCCACAGGATAAAGCAAGTCTGCGTTTTAGCTCTGACTCTGTCTCTTCTGCCTGTTTAGGTTCCTCCCATGTAGAACAGGGCTACTGGCAATGCCAGTTCTGCCTATCAAAGGAAGCCAATGTGCTAGTGTGTACGCACATATATGAAAATGTCTCCAAATTGCTGTTTCATTTTACTTCAACAGTTACAGAACAGTGGTTTTGTTGGAAATTAAATGGCATTACTGATGAAAATGGAAGTGGTAAAGCTCACATTCAGATATTTTTTGAAGGGTTGGACACATTCTAACTTTTCAGTCACTCGTACTAACATCCAATAAGCTAATGTAGGCTTTGCAGAAGAATATTTTACAGGGCTATGTTTTTGTTCGGCTTTTTGTAATGCTGAGATTACACTCTAAGGCCTTGTCTATGCTGGGGAAGTGATCTACAACTGAGCGATACCCTCAGCTCCAGGGCTGTGATGAGAAGGCAACTTTTTGCAGATTCCTTTTTAAGGAAGGAGGAAGCAAGCTATGCTACTCCTGATTCATTGTTCCCTAACCCAGCTGGTTCGCGACCCGGGCATCTGGGGTGTCCCAGGGTGGCTTTGGAGTTTGGGCCCTCAGAGCAGCTCTGGGCCCAGCTCGCAACCACACATCCCTTGCACACTCTAGAAGCCAAAGCCTCTCCCAGGGAGTTCCCAGAGCAATTAACCAGAGGTCCTATGAGGAGCACGTGGGATCTGCTTGGACTTTAGGTGATCCTGAGACCCTTTTGAAGGAAAGTGAGGTCTTTTCCTGGGTCCTCCAAGCAGGGATTTCAAAGATTTGTCAAGATGGCAGCCTGGCAGCTAGTTCTCAAACCTCTTCCACAAAACCTCTACTCTGCAAAGGGTTTTCCACCTACCTAAGAAAATCTAAGCAGCAGGGCCCGGGATTTAGCTCAGTGGTTCCACTGCCTCCCTCAGGAGCGCAAGGTCCTGATTCAATCCCTGGTACCAAAACAAGAAAGAAAATATAAGCAGCAAGACAAGGAAACATAATTTTGGTAACTTGAGGCTTCACCTTTTGCAAATGACTTTCTTTGATGTTAATTTGTAGATTTCCTTCAGTGTGTGACAGATCTTGCTTTTTATCTGTTTCTCTTTTTGAAGGCCTGACAATTCAGAACACATTAGTGTGACTATGTATGCCCTGCACAATCCTTCAAATGGTGCACATTAGTGATTGTGCTGTGCTTTGCCTCACAAGACACAGAACGTCAATGTAAATGCTCTTCTTGTTCTCAACATCACACAGGAAGAGAAATGCAGTTAAAACTATACTGAAATACTCCTTTTACCTGTCAGGCTAGCACAGATGGAATGACCTGTGTGTAGAAAATGTGGCCATCACTATGCACTGCTGGGGCCTTTAAGTTCATACAACCTTTTGGGAATGCAATTTTGGGGATATCTCTTTCTCACACTTTGACCCAGCAATTCCACTTCCAGGAACTTCTACAGAAATGTAAGTTCATGCATGACATGGTTTCTATAGCTCATTTCCATACATCAACAGGAAACAGACTGAATGCGTTATTAGTATGCCCATAAAAAGAAGAAGCTCTACCAGACAGGTCACTAGGTTAGAAAGCAGAGGGAGCACAACACGTGAGCGTGCTACCACACTTTTAATGGGGCATGAGAGACTGGAGAAACTCATGTGAGTAGGGCTGAACCACACGCAAACATCTCTGGAGTGACAGCAGCTGATAGCTCGCACTTGTCGAGAAACAGTGTCTAGGGAACGGGTGCAAAGGGAGACTTCTTTTTATAGTCTGTGTTAGCTTTTGAGATCCATGTGCTCAGTAAGCTATCCGCTTCCTCAAAATAACATGTGTATTATGTGGTCACCTGTGCACTCTGGATGCTTTCTCTCTGTGCACCAAGATTCGCTTGGTCAACTTGCTGTAAAGCACTATATTTCTGATTTCCCTAAGTTTGAGGCAAAGAGCTACTGTATGGCATTTCTCAAGTGACTGCAGGTACAGGGATTGATAAAATGGCATCTTGTCAGCCAGGTGTGGTGGTGCATGCCTGTAATCCCAGCACTCTGGGAGACTGAGGCAGGAGGATGGCAAGTTTGATCCCAGCCTGGGCAATTTAGGAAGACCTTGTCTCAAAATAGAAAATAGAAAGCCTGGGGATGTAGCTCAGTGTGCAGGTCCTGGGTTCAATCCCTAGTACTAACGGGGATGGGGCCTGTCAGGAAAACAATATTCTGTCTAGTTTCTTAATTCTGTAAGTAAAACAAAAATAAGACGGACAAAAATAAGATGGACAAGGAGACAAATTTAAGGCACCTGGAATCAGAAATCCATCTCTAAAACCAGATCCTAATAATTGATCTAATGGATGATAACCGTATACCGAAAGATTGTACAGTTAAAGCATAAATTAAGTTTGCTTTAACACTTCTCCTTTAAAATCATTTCATGAAAGCTGGGTGTAATGATGCCCACCTGTAATCCCAACACTCAGGAGGCTGAGCCAGGAGGATTGCTGCAAGTTCAAGTTCTGTCTGGGCAACATAGTGAGTTGAAGACCAGCCTGAGCTACACAGTGAGACCCTGCCTCAAAAAACCAAAATAAAAAAATAAACCATTTCATGAGTCGCCATCTTCATCATTAATCTGGCTTCCATAGCTTTTTGTTTATACTTACTGGTGGCTCCGTGGCATGTGTTCACATGTGAGGCACTACTTGCCGTGGCTCACCTAAATACACAAGCCAGACTCAGGCATGCTAGGCTCAGATCCCGGTGCCGCATTTACAAAACAGCCATGGGATATTAAGCAAATTGGGTAATCTCTCTGACTCCCTGCCACTATGACAGGTAGAAGAGTGTGAGGGTGGAATGAGACCCTTCACGCAGAAGGCGTGGTGCAGCGGCTGGTGCAGATGGGCTCTCTGTAAGCAGTAACAATCACCTGTCATCACTTCAGCTCCTCGCTCGCTCTCTCTAACTTAATTACATGTAAGTAACATCGGGCCGACCTCTTTTTTATTTTTTGGTACTGGGGATCAAACTTGGGACCTTGCACTTGCGAGGCAGGCAGTGGAACCACTGAGCTAAATCCCCGGCCCAAGCCAACCTCTTTTTGTTTTCCTTCTTCAGTACTGAGGACTGAATCCAGGGCCTCTGCACTGAGCTACATCCCCAGCCCATTTTTATTTATTTTGAGACAGGGTCTTGATAAGCCACTAAATTGCCCAGGCTAAGCTCAAACGTGAGGTCCTCCTGCCTTGGCCTCCCTTACAGATGTACCACCATGCCTAGCAGAGGGCTGTCTTATTTTTAACCAGCTCTCTGCTCTGGCATTAGTGTTATGCAAATGGTGAATGCTCAGTAAAGGTAGACTGGCTCAGAGACCTGAGACATAGAGATCTCAAAAGATCTCTTAGTTTAGGTCCAGTCCCTAGTACAGATAGGACATGAGCCCCATTTAAAAGTAGTCTCAGACTCTAAGAGGGGGTTAAGTAATTTAAATTTTTACTTCTCTCTTTAAAGCACACTTCTTTTGTTCTTAGAAAAGTGCAAAAGTTAATTGAATATATTTATTCCTTTACATAGTATTCAAATCCATCCTACATTTCTTCTTACATTTTTTATTAGATTCTCTCTCTGTTCATGCTTCTTTCTAAAACATAATGAAGAAGCTTGTTTATTTCATGAAGTGAGATCAGATGGCTCATGGAGGCCCTCGGCGTTGCTGGGAGATGGGTGGCACTGTCTTTATCTCCCCGTGTGGGAGCCCAGATCATCCCTAAGGTAAGGACAGCTTTCTGCTCTATGGTCTTGGCAGTCAACAACTTTTGAGCAGTCCTCAAGTCTGATACTCAGTCTACTGGGGCCACAGGTGGAAGTAAGAAGCTTGGTGCTGTAGGCAGCTCCCCAGTACTGTGACAAAATACCTGGATGGACGGACAACTTGAAAGGAGGACAGGTTTACTGTGGCTCACAGGTGTGCTGGCTCCACTACTCGGGGGCCTTGGTGAAGCAGCACATCATGCAGGTTGCGCATTGTCGGGCACTGCTGCCCACCCAGAGGACAGCTGGAGACCAGCACCCCCAGAGCACACCCTCCGTGCCCTGGCTTTCCCCCACTCGGGCAAGCTCCTGCAGCTCCCCCATCTCCCATCAGCATGGCCAGTGTGGGCCTGAGCCTTCTGACCGGAGCTTCAGGGACAAGTAGAATCTAACTACGCCTCGGGGTGGTTCAAGGGCAGTGCACTTGTCTAGCTGTGGGAGGGCCTGAGCTGGACCCCTGGCACCACACACACACACACACAAAGATACAAATTATGAGTATTGGGATTTTCAAAAACAGTCTACAAGGCCAGCAGAGTAGATGCAAAGTAGGTGCTATTATTATGATTATTAGCTGTCATTACTAAATCACCATATGAAATTTATTGAAGTCCAATAAATTATGTTATACTATGTTTTATATTAAAAATCCTATATTTAGTGGAGAAAATTAAAAAGAGAGATTTAAAAAAATCAGGATCTTCAAAGGGTATCCAAAGCACATACTACTATCATCTTTCTGCCCTTGAATTAATTTTCCAGGGTTCACAGGGAAAGGGGCACTGCTTATAAAGAACCTTCACAATTGAGCCCTGGTAACCTCTGCAGTGTCACCTGTCCTCTGCCACACTCCAACCACACCAGGCCACTTCAGTCCCCAAAAGCATCATGAGAATTCAGTATTTTCCATGGAGGTCCTGGAACAAACCACCTAGACTTGAATCTTAGATCTTCCAATTATTGTACTGGCTGAAGACTGGGCAAATTTCTTAAATTTTCCATGGCTCTCTAGAGCTCACAGAATGTTTTTATATTACAAAAATGTATGACACAGGGATACTGTCAGTGCATGCTGAGTGGAGTTGAACGGACACGCTACAGTGCTTAGGAGAGTGATATGCAAACAGCAAGCCCTCAGAATGTGCCAGTGGTCATTGCTGTGCAAACGCCAGGATCTCATCCCTGCTGCTCCATGGCCAGCACACTCTCACCACCCATACCTGCCCCTTTGCCTCTGACTCCTCCATCAGACCTCAGCTTAAAAGTCAGCTTCCTCCAGGAAGCACTCTCTGAGTACCACTCAGCACAGCCGAGGACACGTGTCCTTTGGGCATATGTGGCCCCTTGCCATTCCTTATGTCCAGCGTGCTATGCTCCTTAATAAGCATCTGTTCAGTGGTCTGGCTCTCCCACTATCCTGCAGGTCTCACAAAGACACGACATCTGTGCACCAAGCTGAGTGCTTGGCACATAGTCAGCCGTCAGGATTTACATGAGAGTGCATGAGAACCTTGTCCCTGGAGGCTGTGCTCAGAAAATGTCTGTAGGAGACCAGATAACGAGGATCGAGGCCTAACTGACCTTCTCTACGAGCACAGAAGGGAAAAACGGCAAACTGTGTCTTTGGCAATTCACAGGCATGCTAACATGTTGGAAGTTCCAGAGAAGAGTCAATACAGCTGAGACCCGGATATTTACCTGTGTACATTCTGTAGACAACAACAGGCAGATGAATCTTCTATTAATCTAATCCTTCATTCCCATGCCTAAGTGAATAAAAGTGAGGTGAGCCAAATGCTCAGGGCTCTTTGTCCATTAGAGGCAAAGAGCCCCTTGGACCCCTCATTTCAAAGTATCTTTGTGTGGCCGGGGAAGGTGGCACATGCCTATAATCCCAGCACTTGGGAGGCTAAGGGAGGACTGCTACGAGTTCAAGGCCAGCATGCACTATATAGTGAGTTCACGGCCAGCCTGAGCTACACAGTGAGACCCTGTCTCAAAAAACGAAACCAAACGAAACCAAACAAAATCAAACCAAACCAAACCAAACCAAAACAAAACAAAACAAATTATCTTTGTGTCTTTTGTCTTTCATCCTCGTTTGCCCCCTGGTTGGGAATAAACTCATAGGCTGGTTCCT